AGAAGGGTTATGTGGTCCAAATCTGTGTTGGGAATGACAAACAAGTCTTCTTCGTGAAGCAGGATGTCTTGACCCATGGCCGTATCCATGGGCTATTTGAGTAAGGGGCATTCCTGTTATAGACCAAGGAGGACTGGAGAAAGAAAGTACAAATCTGTTCAGTGTTGCATTGTGGATGTCAATCTGGGTGTTCTCAATTTAGTCACTAGAAAAAAGAGATACTCCTGGACTCACTGACATTACCATGCCTCATTGCCTGAGGCCTCAAAGAGCTGGCAGAATCTGCAAACTTTTCAATCTCTCAAAAGAGGATGTTTGCCAGTATGTTGAGAAAGCCCCTAAACAAAGAAGGTAAGAAACCTAGAATCAAAGCACCCAAGATTCATTGTCTTGTTATTCCATGTGTCCTGCAACACAAACGTTGATGTGTGGCTCTGAAGAAACAGCATACTGAGAAAAAAAGAAAGAGGCTGCAGAATATGCTAAACTTTTGGCCAAGAGAATGAAAGAGGCCAAAGAAAAACACCAGGAACAGATTGCCAAGAGACAGAGGCTTTCCTCTTGAGAGCTTCTACCTCTAAGTCCTATCAAAAATGAGATTTTCTAAGAGTAACAAATAAGATCAGACATCAAGGGGCACCTGGGTGGCTCAGATGGTTAAGCATCTTCGGCTCAGGTCATGATCCCAGGGTCCTGGGATCGAGTCCCACATCAGGCTCCCTGCTCAACAGGGAGTCTGCTTCTCCCTCTCCTTCTGCCTGCTGCTCTCTCTCTCTCTCTCTGACAAATAAATAAATAAAATCTTTTTTTAAAAAATCGGACATCAAATCTCAAAAAAAGAGATGCGCATATGAATGTATACATTAGGATATAATTTAGGATAGGATATCCCATCTGTCCCCTAATAGGGCCTAGAAACAAAAACATCCAAGCAGTAATCAGCACCTTGGTGTCTAAGTACCAGTCTCGAGGAATGAAGGAACGAAGGAATGAAGGAATGGAATGGAAGGGAAGGGAAGGGAAGGGAGGGAAAGAAAGGAAAGAAGGGAAGGAAGGAAGAAAGGGAGGAGGGACAGAGGGAGGGAAGGGGGGAAACAAAACAAACCCCAGGATGCCATGGAGAAATAGAGACTCCAGGGCTAGCTCAGGGAAAGTACAAAATGTGCCTGTATCATCTCATGGTGCTAGAAAGTAAGGAAGTACTCATAAAATAATGGGGTATGTCTAAAACACAGAGAAACCAAATAGAGGGTGCTCCCAGTAGCAAAACCAGGGACAGTGTGAGCAAAACAAGCAATTAAGAGTAGTTCATCTCAAGATACTTGTTAATTACAGGGACTGAAACAATAACTTCACAATGGAGAAACCTGTCAGACACCCCTTCAACCACGGTATCGAAGTGATCATTCCCAGTTGACATCACGTACTACCTGACAGATATGATGTACTTGGGAGGGCACATGACTTCTGTGGTATTCATTTCCAAAATGAATAACTTCAATCTAATCATGAGAAAACATCAGACCTACCGAAGTTGAAGGTCCTCCTATAAAATAACTGGCCTAGACTCCAAAAAGTGTCAAGGTCATGAAAGACAAAGATCTAAGGCACTGTCATCAATTGGAATAGACTTGGGAGACATGCCAACTAAATGCAATGTGGATTGGATCCCGGAACAAAAATATAGAACAGGAGTGGGGAAACTGGCCAAATTAGAATAAGGTCAATAGATAAATTAATAGTATTTTATCAATGTTAATTTCATGGTTTTGTGATGATTATGTAAGATGTTAACTTCAGGTGCAGCTGAAAGAAGGGAATGTGGGAGTTTCGTACCATTTTTGCAACCTTTCTCTAAGTTCAAAATTATTTCAAAATAACATTTTATTTATTTATTTGACAGAGAGAGAGAATATGAGCAAGCAGGAGGAGGAGCAGAGGGAAAGGAAGAAGCAGACTCCACGCTGAGTGCAGAGTCCTATGCGGGGCTTGATTCCACAACCCCAAGATCATGACTTGAGCCAAAATTAAGAGTTGGACGCCCAACCGACTGAGCCACCCAGGTGCCCCATCATAATAACATTTTTAAAAGAGGGATGTCATGAAATACAAAACCTGAGGTAATGTCAGATTAAGGAGACTAAAGAGACATGACACTTCAATGCAATGTATGACACTCAATTTTCTTTTCTGATAAAAGACATCACAAGGATAACCAACCCAGGATTAGATGACAGAATTACATCAGGGTGAATTTTTTTTTAAGACCTTATTTATCTGAGTGAGAGAGAGAGAGAGCACGAGCAGGGGGCAGGGGCAGGGAGAGGGAGAAGGAGGCTCCCCGATGAGCAGGGAGCCTGATGCAGGGCTTGATCCCAGGATCCTGGGATCATGACCTGAGCTGAAGGCAGACGCTTAACCAACTGAGCCACCCAGGTGCCCCTACATCAATTTGAATTAACTGATTTTGATAACTTCACTGTAGTTATGTAAGAAATTCACACTGAAATACTTAGGTTAGGTAAAGGAGCATCAAGTCAGCAACTTACTTTCAAATGGTTAAAAAAAATAACATATATAGAGAGATATAGATGGATAAAGTGAAGGTAGTAAGAGGCTAGCATTTGAGGAAATGGAATAAAAGGATAGGGGAATTCTTTCTACTTTCCTTTTACCATTTTTTAAAATTTGAAGATATGTCAAAAAGCAAAGTAATCATCATAATAAACCATGTAATAACCTCATTGGGAAGCTTATTCAATTTTGTGATTGCCATTTGTTAAAAGTACTTTAGTCAGCTATGAAAAGTACAGCATAGGGAATATAGTTAATAATAGTGTAATAACTTTGCATGATGAACAGATGGTAACTATACGTACTGTAATGAACATTACAGACATGTGGAATTGTTTAATCACTATGTTGTACACCTAAAACTAATATAACATTGTATGTCAACTATACTTTGATTTAAAAATTTTAATTACTTTTGCAGAGATAGAAAAGATGGTGGAGGAGTAGGGGACCCTATTCCAACCGGTCCCTGGAATTGAGCCGGATATCTACCAGACCACCCTGAATCACCCACGAAATCAGCCTGAGATGTAGGAAGATAGATCCAGATCTCTACAAACAGAATATGGCAGGCGGTTGGTTTCAAGGTACGAAGCGGGGAGCCGTGATTCCACAGGCAGATATTGGAGGATAAATGGCAGTGGGAGGGAGCCTGGCTGTGGAGATCCCACACCGCTGGTGAGCGACAGCCTTGTGCGCTGGGGATGGGGCACAGACTCGCAGACCGGTAGCGG